TAAAAATTGAAGGATGCAAGAAGCAACTGCATTAGTGAATTGTATTTACAATGATGTAATTCTTACCTATGCTTAATGCTATAGTATAATAAAGCATCAAGTCTAAAAAAACCATTTATTTTTTATATGCTATAGATGGAAATTTTATAAAACAAACAATTTTATAATAGGTCGAGAGGGTTACTCTTTAAGAATTGCATCACGAATGGTGCTTTTTCCCGCACCCATGCCTCCTCCCATTAAGAGGAGTACAGGACTTCTGTTTACCGGTATCATTTCTTGACCATGCAGTGCTTTCATTTCTTCTATCAACGTTGAAAATATTCTGGTCATTTTCAACTCCTTTGATAATCTTTTGAATCTTTCTTCTCTGCCAAAGTATTAGGTACAACAAATATTTAAATAAATAATAATGCATTTCTCACATATTTAGAAGAAATTTATGTTCTTAAAATTTCAAAAACTTAATAAAAATGGTAAGGATTAAAGAAAATAAAATTTTACCTTGTAGCTGTCAATGCTATTTCTCTTAGCTTTGTCGTCGTCGAGGAAGACTCCGGGTTTATAGCCTGCAATCAACCAATAAAAAAATGGAATCATTAATATAGTAAGTTGAAAAGATAAGCATGAAAAGAATATGATGCTTTACTGTAATAGGAAAGCTAACATGAAATTTTTTTTAAAAAGTAAGAAAAATAAATGAGATTTCTACTTTATTAACGACAGTTGCAACTTCATCCCAGTTGAAGGAAAAATAACTCAGAATACATCTCTCGAATTCATGCTCCAGCTTTGTATACAGATGATCTACGTTATCTATGTTGCCATTGAAAATATACTCATACATTCTCTCATCGTATCCTTCAGATTTTTTCAAATACTGTTGAAGTAGTAGGCACAAGAATGGAACTTTTACAGGATCTTCAAATCCCAGCTGTCTTACTGCAAGCAAATGAATAACACATCATATAAAAAAAATAGCCAAAACATGTAGGGTAAAGGAATTCAAAACCCAAAACAAACTTACCAACATAGTGAGGGAAGCCTTCTATCATTTTGGATTTCTTTAGAGGAATGATCTTCTCGTTGTTGTTTTGTTCTTTCACCACTCTAGACTTGTTGTTTTGTTCTTTAGCCACTCTGGACCAGATTTGTTCTTTCACTCTGGACCAGTACGTGAAAGACAATGTGGTAGCAATTAAACCAGCGGAAACAGTGAGAACATGTGACGACTTCATTTCCAGAACTGCCTCGTTAGACTGTCTTTTAGTAGCTTAAAAGAGAACAAACTTGGTCTCCATTAATATAGCATAAGAAAATAAAGAATTAAAAATAAAATCTGTTTAAAGAAAATAAGAAAATGAAACCAAGTCAGACTTATGACTACAATCTATTACATCCTAAAACTCAAAGGAAACGAAAAAGTGCAGAAACAGTACCTAATTAATTTCTAATCATTGCAGCAAAATTTAAAAGCATAACCTAAACTACTTTCAATCAAAACGAACACTTAAACATTTCATCAACTCATAACAATGTAAGAAACTAAGCAGAATTAATACAAGAAATATAAAAGCAACATGTTCAAACTAAAATTGAAGTAAACACCTAAAATCTAAATGCAAAATCAAATATTAGCACTAAATCACAAGCTATCAAATTGCACAAAACTAATTTCCAAAACAGCAGAAATCAAAACAATGGAAACTATCATTATCTAAACCATTTAACAATCTAAAATCACAACTGAAACAATAGAAAGCGTAAAAATAGAATTCCAAAAGAGAACCAGAATGTAAACGAGAACAGAACAAAGTGCACGAAATTAAAATTCATTGAAATGAAATGGAAGAAAAGCACGACCGAGACTACCACGGGCGCTCACCACCGTTATCGCTCGAGCAGAGTCCAAGATTACAGCAGAAACTACTCTAAAAAAACCTCAGAAAAAACCTAATCTCGCGATATCTCTCTATACCCTACTCTACTCACCACTGTCTAACACTGCACATTCACTACCCAGCACACACTGGTTAGAGAGAAAGCCCAACACAGAGAAAAGAAAAATGGAAAAAGCAGTTTGGCGCGCTACCGAAACAGCCCCTTTAGATTTTGTTTTTATTTAAAATTTTGATAATTTTTGTCTCTAAATTTTAAAATTAAAGCGATATAACTTTTTTAATTTAATTATGTTAGTTTTTATGTATTAAATAATATTTTATATTATTATTTAAATTGTTTATTGTTTATTCTGTTTTAGTTGGAAACATTTTTTTATAAATAAAAAATGTTTAAAATAATTTGATTAAAATAATTATATTTATTTATTTATAAAATTTAGAGATTAAAATATAACAAATTTTACATAATAATAAATTTTAGTTTTGCATCAAAATTAATAAATTAAAAACATATTTAATCTTTTAAAAGTTTAACTATTTTGATAAACATTATTCTAAATCTTCTCCAATTTGTCAGGAAAATCTAAAGGCGTTATTGTTAAATCAGTTTATTAATTATAAAGGTTTTAATGCGTTGAATATATTAGTTTGTTCTTAATAGAAGTACTTTTAGAGAAAACAATGTATGCATTGCCAGTTTAAATAATTTTATCAGATTATTATACTTTTGGCTCCTCGCTCAGTATCAACCCACAGACCCTCTTGCCAAATCGGTGGCTATTCTGAAGCGTGTGCCATTGCTCACAAGGCCCGCAGCTCTTCAGAAGCATAGCCAAGCCATTACTGAGGTCAACAATTTGGTGAAAGCAACTCTGCAAGTGATTGAGGTAATCTTTGAGCTGGAGAAGCTTACCAGTTACGACATAAAGGATGTACCTGCTTTAGGGCTTGCAATAGAGCAAATCCCTGTTGATGGTCACTGGGTCATCATCACCATCGTCTCTGTAGTTACTCAGATTGATGGTCTCATCACTGAATCGTAAGTTACCTTCTTCTTACTTAATGCTTAATCGTTTCCTACATGTACAACTTCCTTATTATTTTAATGAATGTATAATTTATTGATTGTTTAAGAGAGGACAAACACGAACTGTCTCACTATGGTCAAAAGATCAACATCATACTCAGCAAACTCAGGAAGCAGATCACGCTCTGTAGACAGCAGATAGGTTAGCAACTAAACTAATCTTCTGTGCCTTTAATTATTTTCTCACGTTTTGCCTTATAGCTAATATTTGCTTTTGATTTTTTCCGAAAAAAATGTGCTTTTGATTCAAACC